GTCTTGATGAGAGAATGCTCTGCAACAAGGGAAAACTTTCTCACAACACAGGAACTTACTGAGGAATTGGGAGGCTTCCAGAGACATGATCTGAGGGCTGGGGCCTGAGCAGCCCAGCTCTGTGTAGCTGTACCAGGGAGAGAGGTAAGGGTCGTGCTGAGGCCCATGCATGAATAACTGCTAGGCACAGTGTCCTTGGGCTGGGGAGTGGTTGTTAGAGACAGTGTTTCTGAGACTAGGGAGAAATTGGGGCACAAGTACAAGCACAAGCACCCAAGCACCCCATTATTACGGGTCAGACATCACACAAACCAGACCAGGTGTCCTGGTCTCTGGTATAAACATAATTATCTAACGCAATTATATTGCAAGCTTTCTTATCCATTTGCGTTGGAGGTACGGGCTATGCTGAGCTATGCAAGAGTACATTTCACTATTGTTTAGATTTAGGAGGAAAGAGGTCTGGGGCAAGATTAAGCACCAACTTTTGCTTTTCATGGCTTAAAGGGCCCTACTACCTAAATGGCAAAATAATGTTCTGTATTACAATAATAATAGCTACCATTTACATAGCACTTACTATGTGCTGGGCACTTTACTAAGTACTTTATAATTGTTATCTCATTTTACTAAGCTTTTTAATGACTATTATCTCATTTGATCCTGGGAGATAGGTGTTTTCCGCCCCTATTTTAGATGTGGAGAAACTGAGGCAAAGAGAGGTCAAGTGACTTGTTCACCCAGCTAGTAAGTGCCTGAGGCTAGATTTGAACTCAGGTCTTCCTTACTGGTACTCTAATTTAGCTGTTCTGTTCAGGAGGAAAAGATTTGGAAAAGACCTGGTGAGTGAAACAGTGAGTTGATTAGGGAGGTATAAATGTATTACCTGGCTATAGTGAGGGCCCATATGAGATTATAGAACATAAATTCTTAGTGGATTCAGTCATCAGGGTTTCATGATTTTTTCAGATCCATTCATAGTAGCAGGTAAATTGGAGTAAAGGCAGTGGATGATGGAGTAATCGAAGGCTCAAGTTTGGTCAGAGATAGAATAAGGGGGCAAGAGGCTTGAGGGAAGACAATGTAGAGTTGAAGTGGCCCCTCAAGGGATTAATATGGGGAAGGGAAGAGAGTGTAGCTAGAACAGGAGTGATGCATGACCAGGAAAGAGCTGAGAGGTGGAGGGACTAGAAGTTGTGGTGAGGATAAAGAACAGAATTAAGGAAAGAGTACGATGAGATTAAGATATTTCAGAGTTCATCAACATGGAAGTGGAAGATTTGTGGGTAATGGCAAAATCCTAGGTATGATCTTTACTGTGTATAATGGTGGGAGGGTAGGTCATGGGATATGAACAACAAGAAATGATAAAACAATGTCAAAGAAAACATATAGAAGAAAATGTAAGGTATCTCAGCCAAAAAAAGAAAAAGACCTGGAAAACACATTGAGATGACATAATTTACAAATCATTGGACTACTTGAAAATCAGTGGCCAAAAAGAGAGCCTAGACATTGTATTGCAAGAAATTATAAATAAAAACCACCCAGACCTCTTAGAACCACAGGGCAAAGTGGAAATAAGAATTTACTACTCAACTCCAAAATGAAAACTCCCAGGAGCATTAGAGTCAAAATCCAGAGCATCTAAGTCAAACAAAATATACTGCAAGCAGCCAGCCAGAAAGGAGCCCCAGTCAGGACTGCACAAAATTTAGCAGCCATCACAATAAAGGAGCAGAGAGCTAAAAATATAGTATTCCAGAAGGCAAAATATCTAGGCTTACAACTAAGAATAACTTGCCCAGCAAAACTAAGTATAGTCCCACCGGAGGACAAATGAATCTTTAATGAAATAGAGGATTTCCAAGCATTTCCAATGAAAAGACCAGAGCTGAGAAGAAACTTTAATATAAACACAGGAGTCACTCATTTGATATGCCCAAGAAGGTGTGATAGCTGATTAATTGGATCCCTATTTTATTCCCATCAGTATTAATCAGTTTGACATGATTCCATAGGGGTAGTGATTATAAGTTCTGTATACTAGGCCCCAGAGCTGTGAACTGCAGATTGTAAATTCACTTGCTTAATCATAGGAAGCTAACTAGAGGACCTCCACCCTTGTTTTTCCTTGTTATGGTGACCAAGCCCAGCATGGTGGAGGTGAGTCAATGACATGGAAAGTTCCCCAGCTATTTTTGTTGCCCCTCTGTCTTTCTCCATCCTTCTATTGCCCAACACGGGAAGATGGCCATGAGCATTTGGCCAATAAGTGACCCTGTCTGCCAGCTTTTCACCTGCCTTTCTACCAGCCTATTAGCTCATGTCAATGTTTTGACATCAGCCAGTCCATGAATCTGCACAGCTAGGTAGGACCTCCTGAAACATCAAGATAGGTCTGTCAAGGTCTGCTCATAGGCTCGTTTGTCAGCCAGCGGGATTCTGTATTTTATGTAGACCCTTCTGGAGGATCAAGGTCAAGATCTATCAGCCAATGAGATCTGCATTTTTAGTTTGCCTCATTTGTATTGTCTGGGTATCACACCCTATAAAACTAAGGCCCTGGAGGAAGGGGCATCTCAGAATGTAAGGAAGATTGAGGTCTACTTCATTAGAGGGGCCACGGACCCTTTAATAAAATTCTCTGCCTTAGTTTCTTTTATTGTAGGTTGGACAAGATTGGACTGCACAAAGGGAAGCAGGTTTAACAGGTACAGGAAAGGAAAGCCAGCTATTCTCACCAAGAAAGAAATGTTCCTGGAAATTGAAGTGCTAGATGAAACAGAACTGACAATGGACATTTCCTAAAATGCTTGCTCATCAGCCGTATTGGACCAGAAACAAACTCATCACCAATAAATGAAATATTAAAAAAAAGGGTGGGGCAAAGGGAGGGCAAATACAAAACCCTAGGAGGGTGAAGGGCTAAGAAGGATGGGAAAATTTATTCCATGTTATTGGAGTGTACAAGAAGTCTATACAAACAAGGAGGAAAGTGGAGCGAGCCACACTTGACCGTCACTTTCATCTGAACTGATCAAAGGAGGCAAGAACATATATACAACAGGGCACAGAAATGCATTTCACTCAACAGAGAACAAGAGAAAATGGACAGATTGGAAAGAAGAGAATAAGAGGGAGGGTAGATTAAAGGAGAGATGAATTTTAAGCAAAACAAATTCTTAAAGAGGAGAATGGGAAACAAGGATGAGGGAAAAAAAGATAATAAGAGATAGAGGGAAATACACAATTAACTGTCACAATTGTGAACGTGAATGGGATGAACTCATGTATAACCCCCCAAAAAGGGTAGCAAGATGGATTAGAAAGCAGAATCCAACAATACTGGTTGATAAGAAATACATTTGAAACAGAAAGATGTCCACAGGGTTAAAATAAGGAGCTGAAGCAAGATAGACTATGCTTCAGTTGAAGTTTTAAAAAGGTAGAAGTAGCAGACAAAGCAAAGGCAAAAATAGACTATTTAAAAGAGATAAACATTTTAAACTACCTAACTACCTTTTGCTGAAAGGTCTCATAGTTAATGAATGTATATATGAATATTGAATATTTAATTTCCTAAAGAAAGAGTTAAATAAGTTCAACAGAGAAATAGACAGCAGAACTATAATAGTGAGGGACCTCAACTTACCTCTTTCATACTTAGGTAAATTTGACCAAAAAAGAAATTAAAGAATAGAATTTTAGAAAAGTTAGACATGATAGCTATCTGGAGATTAATGGATGGGAATAGAAAGGAGTATACATTTTATATAAACACACACACACATACATATATATACATGCGTGCATACACATACATATTATATGTATACATACACATATGATACATAATCATATCTATGCATGGTACCCTCACAAAAATTGACCATGTAGTAAGACATAAAAACCTCACAAATAAATGCGGAAAAAGCAGAAGCATTAAATACATTATTTACAGACCAAGAAGCAATAAAAATTATATTCATTAAAGGATCTTTGAAGCAAAGATTAAGAACCCCAAACTAAATGCCAAAACAGAGTCCTGAAAATTGAAATGCAACCCCCCCCACTGAATTAATAAATAAAACTAGGAGCAGTTTTTTAAAAAGACAGCAAAATAGTAAGTGACCAGCTAACAATTTTTTTAAAAAAGAAAACCAAATTACCAGTATTAAATTCCCAACAAATGAAGAAATAAGAGAAATTATTTGGAACGATTTGCCCAATTGTTTGCCAATGAAATCACAATTTAAATGAAATGGATGAATATTTACAGAAATAAAAAATGTCCAGATTAACAGAAAGTGATTAACAAGAAATAGAGGACTTTAATCCAGTCTTTGAAACAGAATAAGCCATAAATGAACTCTCAAAGGAAAAAACCCTAAAGACCAGATGGATTAACACGTGAATCCTATCAATCATTTAAAGGACAGTTAATTCCAACACTACATAAACTGTTGGGGAAAAAAAGGAAAAAGAGTCTTACCAAATTCGGGGGAGAAGGCAAGAAGGAAGGGGAGAGGGAGGAGGAGGGAAAGGGGGAGGGGAAGGAAGCAAAGGGAAGGAAAAAGAGGGAAAGGGAGGAGAAAGAAGAGGAAGAGGAGAAAGAGCAGAAGGAGTCCTCCTGGCTCTCTTATGATTTTCACACAATCAGCCTACATAGAGGCAGGGCTGTGGAGACAGCCTGGGGCAAATCGGGGGCCTGACTCCGGGTCTTCGGTGATTCTACAGGGGCTCAAGGAACAACTGTCCCGGATGTCTGAACATTAGCATCCCTAACCCTCCGGCTTCAAACCCAACCGCATCTGCCCCAGGAGCGCTTTCCAGCTGAGAAGCGCATCTCTGTGGTCCATCGCTGGCCCCTCCTCTTTCCCTTTAGGCCAATAGGAACCCGCGCGCCTGCAGCCGCAGCCCCAAGCCAGTCGGAGCCTCTTCTCTGAGGATGCTGCGGCTTTAACTCGGGACCAAGGCTGAAAGACGCGCAGGTATGAAAGGTGTGGAAGGGGCGCGGCGCGTGAGGCCGAGAGCATTCCTCTTGCTGGCCGAAGGTTAAAGGGGAAGGCGGCCTCGTGCCCTCGGTCTGTTGGAGTAGGGTCCTTGTCACGGATAGCACGCATCATGAGGGGCTTGCTGGTGAGCGCCCCCAGCCCCCTCTGACTTCCCGATGTGGATCCCTTTCCTGATGCCCTTCCGACCATAGGCAGGGACGGAGCCATCTCCCATACCCCGTTACAAGGATTTTCAAGTTCCTTACTAGCCACCGTACGAACAAGCCAGCCCAGGTGACAGGTACAACTTCTTTAGCCACTCAGGAGTGTGACCCACGCCGCAGGACAGGTGATAGACACGTGTCTCTCACGATTCCATAGAAGACAGGTAGAGTCTCACCCCCTGAGCTCGGTGACCCAGAGCTGGGGGAGGATGAGGTGGTTCGCGTAGGCAGGCTTACAAAGCAGGTCAGGTAAGACTTGGAAAGGTGTAGTTTTAGCAAAAGAAATGCTTAACCGGCGACAACGATCTTTAGCACAGCCATTTAAACCGGACCTAAGCAAACTATCTATTTTTATCAGTCAGTTAATTAGCATTTGTTAAGCTCCGACTGTGCGCCCTATTAGAATAAAGAGAAGAGGATGAGTTATGGGTAACTATTCAAAATACAAAGAATTTTCTTTTATAGCTGAGAAGAGATTGAAGGCAGGGAGGAACAGAGAAGGAGGCTATCAGTAAAGTTACCCAGAAAAAGAAAGAAATATAATTAACAGCGAACATAGCACTAAATGGAGTCAGCTCTGTTCTCCCCCAAAGCCACTTTCTGCACCTCCCATCCCTGCACCCCCACCCCAATCTGGTGGCGAGTGCAGAGGATTAATGAGGTTCCATCCAAAGCTGAGATTCTGATGGAGGTGCCAGAAGCCCCACTCTGACCTTAGACCCTCACCTCGGCTCCTTCTAATATTATAGTTCCCTGTAAACCCTGGGGCCTGCCTCATGACATCCACTGTGTGCCCTCCCCTCCCCCCCAGGTGTCCCATTCCAGAACTCTCCTCCGATCCTTCAGCTCCAGCGCCAGAAACTTCTTTGAGAACAAAATAGCAGAGAAACAGAAACTCTTTCAGGTTGGGGGGAGCCCAAGACCTGCCCCCTCTTTGCCCGGGGACTGCAATGGCCCCCTTCCTTGGGATTCCCCCTTGATTCACAGTTCTGTCCTCTCCCCCAGGGACCCCAACACATTCCTCTGTGCTCTGAGGGACACTGGTTTCTGGTGGAGGGCTGAGACCTCCACTCAAGGGGTAGGGGGAGGAAACCCCTTCAGGAGTCCAGGCTGTAGAAGCTTGCTTGAACCCTTGGGAGTGAGGGCAAAGACTCTGCCCTCACCTATCCTCATGGTCTCCATCCTAGGAAAACAATGATCTCCCAGTCTACCTGAAGGGTGGGCCCACAGATAGATTACTATATGGCATAACCATGGCGATAACCTTGGGAGGTGAGTTACCAAGAAGGGGAAAGAGGAGCTGACATTGAGTCACTGGGTGTTTAAACCCTAGATTGGGAGGCTTTCTGTCCAGGGTGTGAGGACCCTAAATTCTCTCTGGGCATCTGGGTCTTGGTTGGGCTGGTGTCTGCAGCCTCTGGACACTCTAGACTCTGGGTGGGGGTGTGGGGAGGGGTACTGAGTGCTGCTGGAGCCTGGGGATCCGCTGGGGAGAGGTCAGGTGCAGGCTGGGACACCCCTCACTTTTCCCTTTCTTCCTTCACCCTCCTAGGAACTGGTTATAGTCTCTTTTTCTTGGGCTGGGCCTCCTTTCCCCATTCGAAGAAAAAGTAAGACAGCACAGAAGATGGGCCTGGAAAAGGTGGGGCCAGAGCCAGAACTGAGGTGAGGGCTGGGGCTGGGAGTCAGTAAAACTTCCCCCCAAGGGGACAGCTAACAGAGCCAGAGTTTGTCTTTTGGACTGTCTCTACAGGCACCCCAGGACCCTCCCCACCCCCAGCAGTCTCTCCAAAGCCCCTAACTGCTAGCACTTTTTGTATCAAAGCAGCCCCCCTCCCCCATTCCAATAGAATGCCAGTACAGGATAGGTTGGGGGGAAAGGGGTATTTCCATGGAAAGAGAGCCTTCCCTGGTAGGGTCATCCCCTCATCTGTAGTATCTTCCTGGGGTGAGGTCTTGCCTCTCTCTGTCCCATGTTTCCAGTGGTTTGTCCTCACCTGCCTCCATTCTGAAGCTCCACTCAGATCCTTGGGCTCACCATGATGTTTCCAAACCCCTCAGACCTGGGAATTCCCCTTTTTGGGGGTCCTGAGATGCAGGGGAAGGTTGGGGGCAACCAAATTCAAAGGGGTCATCCTGGTCATGTAGCAGGTGGAGTTATCTTGGGGGTGAGGTGACCCCTTCTACCTGCTGGGCACACGGATGTCTGTCCTTTCAGCCCTCTAGGCTGGACCTTGGACAGTCCACCCCTATTCTTTGCTAGTAGTCTCAACTTTAATTCAGTCTTTATCATTCAACCAACTAGTATTTATTAGGTGGCTGCTGTGTGCCAGACACTGCTCTGCACTGGGGTTACAGAGACAAAAACGAGCCCCCCTGCCCTCAAAGAGCTTACATTCTACCAGAGGAGACATAACCTAAAAAAATATAAAAATGCAAGCTATCCGGAGGGCCAGGCACCAGAAGCTGGAGGGAATCGGAAGAGGAATCCGGGAGGGCGGGGCATTGGAGCTTTGTTTTGAAGGAAGTTGGTGATTCTAAGAGCAGAAGTTGAAGAGGGAGGGCACTCCTGGCCTGAAGCACAGCCTGTACCAAGGCTTGGAAATGGGTAAGAACATCAGTTTGGCCAGCCTGACTGAACGCACGAAGCTTTCAATGCTTACTCTGTGCAAAGGGCAAATGTTCTAATGGGGGAAGGTTCCAGTGTCAAGTCAGATGGGAATGTCCAGGGGCAAAGCAGATGGTGATGTCTCCTTTTTAATGTCATTTTCACTGAGAAAACCACGTCAGTGCCAAGGACTTTTGGTGACAAGAACTTTCCTTTCCAGATCTTCAGTAGCAGTGAGAGAAGGAGGAAGAAGGGGAGGGAGGAGAAGGAGGGAGGGAAGGGGGAGGAGGAGGGGGAGGAGGAAGAGGGAAAGGAGGAGGTGAGGGGAGGAGGAAGAGGAGGAGGGAAAGGAGGAGGGGGAGGAGGAAGAGGAAGAGGGGGAGGAGGGGGAAGAGAAAGAGGGAAAGGAGGGGGATGTGGGGGAGGAGGATGGAGGCGGGGGAGGAAAAAGACGGAAAGGAGGAAGAGGTGGGGGGAAGGAGAAGAGGGAGAGGAGGAGTGGGGAAGAGGAAAAGGGAGAGGAGGAGGAGGATGGGGGAGAGGAAGGAGGGGGGACCAGGTGGGAGCAAAAAGGGGTATCACTGGAATTACTCCTTCCAGATAAACACCCAGCCTAACCCAGCATTCAGAGATGCCAAGTATTAAGCACACTGATGTGACAACTGGACGGATGTGTGCTTATAAGCAGTCCCTTGACCCAGTACTGGCCCAAGGTAACAGCTGGTCAGGTGAGGGCTGGCCTCAATGCACTGAGCTGCCCTCTAGAGCTGAGGGGCCCCCCTGAAAGGCATCCCGGGCTCTCATCAGCCAGAGGGACAGTTCAGAAACTCCCTTTTCCTCGTCAGGATAAGGCAAGGAGGAAGCCCACTTCCAGGGTGGGAGGGCTAGGAGAGGAATCCCCAGGAGCCCCACCATCTCCCAGATGCTGAAACTTCCAAGAGTTTCCTGGGTTTGTTGGCTTCCCCTTTGAGGCTCAGCACACATTTTCCTATAGAAACAATGGGAAACTCACAGGGCTCTTAAAACCATCTATCAGCTGTCCTATGACTTAACATGGCTTCTGTGGGCTAGCCTGGGAACCCAGACACACTTTGGAAAATTGCTATCGTTCAGCCGTTTCAGTTATGTCTGACTCTCTGTGACCCCATCTGGGATTTTCTTTGCAAAGACTGTAGTGATTTGCCATTTCCTTCTGCAGCTCATTTTGCAGATGAGGAAATTGAGGCAAACAGGGTGAAGTGATTTGCCCAGGGTCATACAGCTAGGAGGTATCTGAGGCCAGATTTGAATTGGAGAATTACCCTGCAAAAATGCATTCTAAGTCTGACAAATTTGGAAATTATAATAGGTCACACTGATATAGCAGCTACTGTGTGCCAGGCGCTGTACTAAGCATTTTACTTTTATCTTGTTTGATTATATGGCTGAGGAAACAGAAGTCAAGTGACTTGCCCAGGGTCATACAGCCAATAAGTAAATGCCGGAGACAACAGGCCTGGTGCTTTATCTGCTGTGCCATGTAGGGCTCTGCTACTTACTGCCTACCTGATCAGGGTTACTTAGCTTTTCTCTGCCTCACTTTCTTTATTGGTAGAGTGAGAGAATTAATACTAGATGGTTTCCAACATCCCTTATAGGGATGCCGTTTTCTAGTTTGGGTCACAGAAGCTTGTGGGGGCCCACCCAAGAGCAGGAGGCCTTCATCTTTGCACCTTGAAGCCCTCTGGTGGTCAGTCTGGTGATATCTAGGGACTCCTCAGGAAGCATAAAATGAAATACATAAGAAAGCAATTAAACCTAAACACGGCTGTCCGGTAACTCAGGCTCTGGGGTTAAAGTGCAGTGACCACGCACCACCAAATTCAATTAAACAACATCACTAAGGGAGTAAATGAATGCAACGTCCAAAGTTTAAACTAAAGGACGTTAGCTCCCCTAAGATGTTACTCAGCTCTGCCTCCATAGCCACCATGGTAACCCGCCAGGCCAGGTCAGGAAGGCGTTCTCCAGGGAGCCACAGCTCCAGTAAGATTTCTGACACCTCAGTTCTCCCTAGGCTGGGCCCAGGAGACAGGCAAGCCCAATAGCTTGCACTTGAGTCACACCCTGTTCTGAAGGACGTCAGGCAGGCTGAGGAGTAGGAGGGAAGGAAGAGGGAGATGGGGACAAAAGAGAAAGGAGGAGGTGCCAGCAGCAGCCCGGTGTGTGGGCAGGCCTGGCCCCGCTCCTGCTCTTACTGGTACGTGGGCACTGAGGGCTGGCTGCTGCTTGTCGGGGGCTCAGTGGGCCCACCTACCCTCCTCTTGCCTACCATAACCACCAAAGAGTGGCTGCAGCAGAAGTGAATCATGCCCCCGGCTGCATAAAATATAGGACTCTGAATAACTGATGGTGTGTAAATGAATGGAATACCACTGCATGTGCCATAAGACAAAAGGAAAGGGGTGGTGTTAGCAAAACCTGGGAAGACCTGGATGAATGGATACACGGAAGTGAGCGGAAGCAGGACAACAACCCTGGGGAAACAGACTCCGAAGGCCCGAGGCCCATGACAGAGCACGCTGCCCTCCTCCGAGAGGGGCAGGACTCATGATGCAGAATGAAAAACGGATATATTTCTGGACATGGCCAACATGGGAATTTGTTTTGACTATGCATATCTGTGGCCAAAGTTTTCTTTTTCTTTTTTTTCTCCCAGCAGGCTGGGGTGTGTGCAGGGGAATAGGAAGAAGAGAAAATACGTTCATTCTTTGAAAAATTTAATAAAGTGAAAAAAAATCCACCCAGGTATCTCTCTTTCCACAGAGTCTTCCATTGTGGAAGAACTAGGGTATGGTTCTTAAGGGTTATTGTGAGGACTGAATAATCTATGTAAAGTCATGACATGATATGTTAAGACTGACAAAACAATGAAACACAAGAAATGGAATGGTTGCTTCAGGCTGGGGATCTTTTGTCTCAATTCTTACCTAGCCCTTAGTCCTTGAATGGGTGCTGCCTCACACAAACTGAGGCCTGGCAAAGACTTTAATTTAGAAAGACCAAGGTCATCCACTGCATCCCAGGCCATCTCCAGTTGACTTGACCTTTGTCCTGCCTCTGGACTTTGATGACTTCAGGAAAGAGTGAGGCTGACGACTTTGTGCAGCTCTGCCTCACTTAAATCCAATTTATGGCCAAGTCAACACATCACCCATGATGCTGCTGGTCCACTTCCAGAGCAAAGGACAAACAACAGAAGGCCTAGAGCCAGGAAGACCTGAGCTCAAATCTGGCCTCAGACTAGCTGTGTGACCCTGGGCAAGTCACTTAACCCTGTTGGCCTCAGTTTCCTCCTCTGTAAAGTGAGCTAGAGAAGGAAATGGCAAATCTCTCCAGTGTCTCTGCCAAGGAAATCCCAAATGGGGTCACAAAGAGTCAGATGCAACTGAAAAACAACTCTCTTATTTGCTTCTTTAGTAATTTATCTCATTTTCTCCAGGGAAGTGTTCTGGAACCATCACAGATAATGGCTGTCTAGTCCTGACAGCTTTCCAGACCATTACCAAGAGAGAACATATTGATATTTATCAGCTTTTCCTTTCACAGCACTATAGGATTGGGAGATGGATATTCCATATGTCTGTATGAGGATAAGCCTTCAGGCTGGGCCTTGGAGAGCTGTTGCCAGGCCTGGACTTAAAGTCTTGCCAGCTCAGTAGGACCTTTTGGATCCTATGTTCCACCAGCATAACATTCAAGTGCCCAGGAATCAGGGGAGAGGTATTTATAAGTAAATGCAGTTTTGTGGCTCATTCCTAAGATCCAAGGTTACTGGTACTTTAGGAATGTCAACAAATGTGCAAGGCTCTGTGGAGACATGAAGATAAAAATAAGCTGCCTGCCCTCCAAAAGCTTTCAGTCTTAACAGGCTGAGCAGACAGGCCAATAACTCCAATCCAAATTAGACTATGTCCAAATGAGTGGGAGAGACCCAAATGGCCTACAAAATTCAGAGGGAGGAATCACTCCTAGCTGTAGGGATGTGAGAAGGCTTCATGGTGGAGGTGGCCCCTGAGACCCTAAAAATGAGGGGATTTCAACAGCTGGAGGTGTGACCAAACCATGAGTCCTGTGAAATAACACTTGGTGAGGGTGGTCCTTTGTTTTCCAAGAGGACCAGTGATGTCATAGAATGAAATAAGACCAGAAAAGAGAGAGAAAACTTCTTTTATTCTTCATGACAAAGGATGGCTTTCTGGGGAAGGGAGGGAGGCGAGAGAGATTTGGAAATGAAGACGATGGGAAAGAAAAGAGACCAATCCTTTAAAAAAAAAAGATTGGTAAATGTCAAAATGAGAACAAAGACAATTATTCTGGTATCCTGGGGACACTGCCAAATTAAACTACAAAGAGGGACAACAAAAAGAAAAAAAATACAATCACCATAACAATGTAAATGAAGACAACAGCATACTAGTCAAGGAAGGTGGCCAATGATATACCTTACTCTCAGACTGATAAGCTATCCTGCAGGGAATACTTTGTAATAGGGTTTGTTGGGTAGGGGGCCTACTGTGTCCAAAAAATATACATCACTGTAGGATCCAGATTGGGAAGAAGCCAATACAGTAACAGGTGAAAAGCCATAAAAACAAACTCTGTGAAAGGTGGAAGCCCAAACATGGGGACCTGTTTACCGTTATACCTTGGATACTGAACTATATTTTAGACACGAGTCATAACTTAAAACACTATGAAAGCCAAAACAAGAATATGATGACCTCTATGTGACTGGGACAGGATCGATAAGTAAATTCATTGGCTTAACTCCCAAGCTCATTACTAAGCAGAAAGCCAAACATATCCACCAGTCATCAGTGATGCATTCTCTAGCTCCTCCTGCTTTTGTCTGTTTTCTATAATTACCATGGGGATTTTTGGATTTCTTCACAGAGATCCACTGAACTGTCCGGCTGCTACCCCAGACCAAAGATTGCCCCCTGTTTGTAAGTATTCATAATGACTGATTAAACTACTACCTATAACCAATCTATCCACTTCGCCACCTAGCGGCCCCCAGCCAGACCTTACATCACTACATTTTAAAAAAATAGGGCTAGAAAGGGAGGTTAAAGTGAGACTACGAGGGTGGGATGAGCACAAAGGGCAGTTAGTGTACAAACCATTTCTACATAGCAGTGAGCACCATTCCAACCCTCCAAGATTCCCCCCAGGTCCCATGGCCTGAGACTGGGGGGGATCTGTATTCCTTCACTAATTCAAGGAGTGTGAAAATGCCAATTCTCAGCTTCTTTTTTAGTCCACATCCTTCCCATCCCACAAAGTACTGAAGACAGCCCTGGGGCCTTCATGAATCCAAGGATTACTTTGATAAAGATGTCTTCTGGCCCTCCCACCAGCTCCATGGTTGGGTGAGGTTCCAGGAAGTGTAGATCTAGGCCTAGATTTGTGCACAGCACAGCAGAGGAGTGGGCAGGGAGATAGTGTATGAGGAGGCCTGGAGACCGGAAGCTACCATCAAATCAGTAGGCCATCAAACTGAGCAAGGGAGAATGACCTAGGGGCTCAGTCAGACAGGTTGATTTAAGGCTTATCTGTAGTTTCCTGGTGCTAGCCCCTACCACATCTCTCTCCCCCAGGCTCTATAGCTATCTCTCACTTTTTATTTACAGGTATCTTTGTGCTTTTTTTTCCCCTTAGGCAATTGGGGTTAAGTGACTTGCCCAGGGTCACACAGCTAGTAAGTGTCAAGTGTTTGGTCTGAGGACAGATTTGAACTCAGGTCCTCCTGACTTCAGGGCCAGTGCTCTATCCACTGAGCCATCCAGCTGCCCCTATCTACAGGTATCTTTGACCACTCATAATGGATCTTACAGGTTGGTGTGAACTGTTTCTGGGTTTTCCAGGTAAGCATCAGTTACTGGTGTGGTAGCGTAAGCAAGACTGAATATAGGTACAAATCAGTTTGGATAAAAAGGTGGAGAAGGGAATAGTATTATGGCAACTGCATTGTGGTGAGCAGAATAAAGAAGGCACGAGTTTAACAGAATCAGAAACAATGAGCCCCATATGAAGGCACAGTTTGCCATCTTGAAGGCACATGCGTGTTTTCGTGCCTGGCTGTGGGAAAGCATGTTCATTTTCCAGGTTTTCATAAATGATCTTCAGTTTGGCTCTGCTTCCATTAGTGGAAACATCTGTCTCAAAGAGGCAGCGGAGAGGGTACCCAGGAAGCAGCGGGGGACTTGTAACCCACAAATGTGGGGAAATGAAAGGTTCTTCCCAAAGCAGAAAGAGCCAAACTTAGGGAAGCACTGGTTAATAAAAGCTGTATTTGGTGTTAAGGGTATTTAATTTGTAATTAGGTGTTTCCAATTCCTTCAGCCTTGCTCTAACTGGTGTACTACTCAGCTTATAAGCAAGGAAAATATCTTGGAAGAATTGTCAACATTTAGAGGGTTGGCTCTGCAGCCCTAAATGTACAATGTGACAAGTAGAAAGTCACCTAAGTTGACAACTGAAAAAACCATTTCCTGAATGCCGATCGGTCCCATTGCCACCGGTTTGGATTTCCTTGGGAATCCACTGCAGTAACTTCATTTTCCTGTGCTACAGTCCTTGTTGGTTTTTCCCAACCACATCCCATCCCCGAAGCCCTCTATTCACCTCTCTGCTCTCCCAGGATTTGTTCCAGCCCTTTGCAGACTGGAGACAGTCTCATATTTTCCTTTGCTAATATTCAAATACCCCTTTATTTTCTGTTATGTACAGAGCCATGGGAGAGGAGTGTGAAATGGACACCAGAGTCTATTTTAACATTTCCATAGACCCATTACTTCACAGGTGAGAGTATTTCTTTCCCCAATGCATCCTACGGTTCCTCCTCCAGACTTTCTCATCTTGTATGACTCTGAACCATCCATCTATGAATCCTTCACCGCTGAGTCAGCTGGAGGATTTCCTCTAGTCCTTTTAGTGTCGTGTGGGTGTCGATGAGGCAGACGAGCTGTCCATTTATTCTTTCTTATTCTCACTCCATTACCAGCTCACCTCCTATCTCAGTCACACATATGCTTAATGATTTCTTTTACGTCACTTGTTACACATAAACGATCTCAGGAATTATGTTGCCGCCTACATTATGCCCAACAAGTCTCTTTGCACCATACTTTGGATGACTTTATGATTTCCACTCTTCTCAGATTATGCTCTTTCAGTAGTCACAGCCCAGTAAGTTACAGGGTGAACACAGGACATAAAGAGATGGGGCTGGGGGCAGCAAGCATTTTGAAAGCAATGTACAATTTCATCTGTGGTTAGGAACACTGGGACACACCACGTCCCCTTTGACTAGGAAACAATAAACTAAAAATAAAGGATACTTGGGTACTGAAAAGTTAAACTTGGAGTGAGGCCAAGAAAAAAACAAGCCTTAAGACACAAAAAGGATTAAGGTCAGACACCTTAGGAAGACATCTAAATCTAATGAGAGTAAGAAGAATAATCTATATATTTCTTTTGTTCCTTTGTTCTAAACGCTTACCTTTGGGGCAGCTAGGTGGCACAGTGGGTAGAGCGCCGGCCTTGGATTCAGGAGGACTTGAGTTCAAATCCGACCTCAGACATATAACACTTACTAGCTGTGTGACCCTGGGCAAGTCACTTGACCCCATTGCCTAGCCCCCTCCCCCCCAAATATAAAAGCTTGTCTTTAAATTTTATTGCATTGCTTAGTATTCCCATCTAACTTACTTTGTGACCAACCCACAATTCCAGAGGCCTCGTGATGAAGCATGCTGCCCACTTCCTGGCAGAGAAGCGATGCATTCAGAGTGCAGGAAACACACTTTTTTTTTTTTTTGGTGACACAACCAATGTAGGAATTTGTTTTGTTTGCCTGTACATACGTGTTTAAAAAAAAAAAAGGTTTGGTTCTTCCTTCTTTTTCAGTGAGGAGGTAGGAAGGAGAGAAGGTGGATTTTTATTAGTGGGAAAAATTAAATTTAAAAAATTATTTCGACCAAAAAAGGTTTCTATCTTTCATTTCATTTATTTATTTATTTAGGTTTCTATCTTTTAAAGTGGATTCATAAGTTTGGGAGCATTAGCTCTATGCCCAGACTAGGGTCCAGCCTACTTGAACCTGTAAGAGTCTACCAGCTTTGGAGACTGCTAGAGCAAAAGGCTCCCCACCAACCGTTTTTCCCCACTCACATCCCAATGTCATCCTTGCTGATGTTATCTGGGTATGTAACAAAGTGAACAGTCCAAGGTAAGCTTCCCTCCCTCTCACTGTACTCCCGGGGTTAATTCTGCAGCGTGCAGTTTTTGGTGCTTGGTGAGGGCTGCACGCCTACTGAAGGCACTCCCACAGTCATCACATGCATAAGGTTTCTCTCCAGTATGAATTCTCTGATGCTGAGTGAGGAATGTCTTCCGGCTGAAGGATTTCCCACATTCACTACATTCATATGGTTTCTCTCCAGTATGAGTTCTCTGATGGTAAGAAAGGGATGAGCTCTGGCTGAAGGCTTTCCCACACTCATTACATTTGTAGGGTTTCCCTCCAGGATGTGTTTTCTGATGTGAAAAAAGAGCTGAGTTCAGTCGGAAGGCTTTCCCACATTCACTGCATTCATAGGGTTTTTCTCCAGTGTGTGTTTGCTGATGGCGAGTAAGGGTTGAATTCTGGCTAAAGACTTTTCCACATTCACTACACAAATAGGGTTTTTCTCTAGTATGAATTCTCTGATGCGAATAAAGGGCTGAGCTCTGTCTGAAAGCTTTTCCACATTCACTACACTCATAGGGTTTCTCTCCAGTATGAGTTTTCCGATGCTGCGTAAGGACTGAGTAGTATCTGAAGGCTTTTCCACATTCGCTGCATTCATAAGGTTTTGCTCCAGTATGAATTCTCTGATGTTGAGTAAGAGATGAGCAGTACCTGAAGGTTTTCCCACAGTCAGTACATTCATAGGGTTTCTCTCCAGTATGAATTCTCTGATGTTCAATAATGTAAGTGCTCCGACTAAAAGCCTTCCCACATTCGTTGCATTCATAGGGTTTCTCTCCAGTATGAGTCTGCATATGTTGAGTGAGAGATGCATGGTAACTAAAGGCCTTCCCACATTCACTGCATGCATAAGGCTTCTCTCCAGTATGAGTTCTCTTATGGGAATAAAGGGATGAGATCTGGCTGAAGGCCTTTCCACATTCATTACATTCATAGGGTTTCTCACCAGTATGGATTCTCTGATGTTGGGTAAGGCACGTACTCTGGCTGAAGGCCTTCCCACACTGATGACATTCATAGGACTTCTCTCCAGTATGGATCCTCTGATGCTTAGTGTGGTCTGAATTCTGTTTGAGGCTATTTCCATGTTTATCACAGTTTTGGGGTCTCTCATCTTCAGGGATTCTCTGCTGCGTCACAAAGCTCCCCTCAAATCTACCACACTCAGAGACTCTCTCTTCAGTGGCATTTTTCTTGTATGTGATTGTCACTCGCCTCCAATGTCCCTCCTTAGTTCTCTGCTCCCTCTCAAACCTGCCCTCACATTCCCAGGCTTCTTTCAACTTGGACTGTGAGGGACCATTCTTTGTAATTACTCCCTGAGGTGATCTTTCTTCAGAACTGTCCCACTTCGGAGATAATACCTTAGTCTTGGCCTTGATCTCCCAGGCTGAAAGAAATTTAAAAAAAAAAAAGAAAGAAAAGAAAGAAATATTCTCTGTGCTCTGGGTTGAGAAAAAGGAAACTGCTGTGGTGAGATGGGGATAATGAAGCTGAAAATAACATCTGTCAGGACTATATGTCTTTGATAACTCTCCAATAAAGCCCATGCAATCCAGGAAGAAGATCAAAAGTGGAAAAGGAGAAGTGGGTTGAGGGGCAGAGGTCTAGTGTTTAGAGAATAAAGTCCATGCAGAAGGTGGGCTGGGAGGTGGGAAGATTGGTGGGTGGACAGGTTAAACTGAGGAACTGTGAATGAAAGGAAACTGAATGCAGTCAATAACGCTGTCTCCCTAAATATTCTCCCTTCTACCTCCAGTCTATCCTGAACATTGCTACTCATTAAATTGCTGAAAATATCAACTTTACCGGATCTATCCCTTGCTGAAATCCCTGTGATGGCTTCCCAGCTCTAAGGCAAAGATGAGCATCCTCCTGGAATTCAAGAACTGTGACCAATTCAAGAACAAATGTCCAACGGCACATACCCAATCCTACCCATCGCTACATGCTGGGATGGACCATTCTGGCCTTGGGCTCTTCCTTCACCTGCTGGGTTCTGGGCCTTTCCCCTTCCTTCCAGCTACCTAAATCTTACCCATTTTTCAGAGCTCAGCTAAAGTTCCACCTCCTTCCATGGAGCCTTACCTGACCACTGCAGCTACAGATTTCTGCACCCTCCTTTTCAGATGTTCTGTAATACTCCTTATCTCACAAATTGTGTAAGAATTTAATCACTTGTTGTCTACTAACTCTTTCATATGCAGGGTAGGGAATAAATCACATTTCTTTTGTACTCTATTTTGTGCCTGGTAGGTACTCAGTAAATATCTAAAGAATGAGTAGGTAGCCTCGGATATAAGGCAGAGGAACAATACTATTATTTTTTTAAAGATAAATGTAAATAAATGGGTAATGGTTTCTCCTGAGCCTGACGTCAGCTGTAAATACCTAATCAACTGATCAACTGTTTGAGTACTAAATACTGGCAAACACAGCAAACAGGCTCATAGGTCCGAAAGTCTAGAACTGGAAAGGCTATGAGGCCATCTAGTCCAACCCCAACACTTTACAGATGAGGAAACTTAGTCCCAGGGGTGAAGTTACAGTACGCTGGAGGAGGGGCATTGGGCTTGATGTCAGGAGACACCTGGGTTCGAATCTAGCCACTTACACTAAGTGCGTGACCATGGACAACACACTAGAAGCCTCAATTTTTTCATCTGCAAAACGTGGGTTATATCTATAGCATTACTGGGTTGTTGTGAGGATCACAGGCTTCCTACGAATATGTAAGTAGCTTGCCAACCAGAAAGTGCATATAATTGTCAGTTATCATGATTACTGTTTTACTCAAGAAGTATATGGTACATCCTTTCCCTCTAGGAGTTTATAATCTACCTGGAAGTAGACGAGTACACGTGAAACAAGAAGAAAATAAGGCAGGACAATGCCCCATCAAGTATGAGATCAGTGACAATGATCATAAAACCTGGAGGAAGGAGGTCAACACGAGGTGGTTTCATTCCCTTAACACTCATTAGACACTGATTTCATGCAGCACAGGAACGCTTCGCAGAAGAAGCCTGACCTGGGCTTTAAATGAAGGGGAGACTGGGAAAGTCACAGATAATCTTGGGGGTGGGGGGATACTATCTCATGTTTACACAGCATTCTGTGGCCCATAAATTGATTTCCTCACAACAACCCAGGGAGAAAGGTCAAAGACAGATGTGAGAAAGAGCATGTCGGGCAGAAAAGGGAAAGAAGGCTGTTGTTGTTCAGTTGTTTTTAGTTGTATCTGACTCTCTGGGACCTCATTTGGGGTGACATTTCCTTCTTCAGCTCATTTTACAGACGAGGAAACTGAGGCAAACAGGGTGCACTGACTTGCCCAGTGTCACACAGCCAGATTTGAACTCAGGAAGATGAGTCTTCCTACTTCCAGGCCCGTAGCCCTATGTACTATGGCATCACCTAGCTGCAAATAAGGTTGGGATGGGGCCAAATTACGGAAGGCCTTGAAAGCCAGGGAGTCCGGATATACTCCAGAGCAGATTTAGGGAAGATGTGGATTACCACACCAGCCAATGGGTGGTAGCAACAGGAGAGAAAGCAGTCAGTCCAAAGGTCAGTGGAAAAGAAGAAAGGATGCTAACGTGGTCACTGACTGCGTATACAGTGTAAAGAAGACGGGAGGTTCAGGGATGATCCCCCCAGTGTCTAGCCTGAGAGTAAGAAGAGTACTAGTCCCGTCAGTCGCTCTTATTATCCTCGTTATTTTACTTATGAAGTAGAACATGCGATAGCCCCCCCCACTGTTCCCCATCCCCATGGGGGTGAATGTGGTGCAAAGTAAATATAAAGTTTTATAATTTTAAATGGTTTAAGAAATGACAATTCAGGGCTTTTTTTTTTTTTTGGTGAGGCAATTGGAGTTAAGTGACTCGTCAGGGTCACACAGCTAGTGAGTGTCAAATGTCTGGTCTGAGACTGGATTTGAACTCAGGTCCTCCTGACTCCAGGGCCAGTGCTCTATCCACCGCCTGACCTGGCTGCCCCTAACTTAGGGCTTTTTAGAGCAAGATGGTCATGACTATTTCTTATAATATGAATAGATATTTGAACCACATTTCCCCACAAGAGGAGAGGGTAGCCCCTGAGGAGTGGCTGGACAAGGTGGGCGAGTAATGCCAGGAAGTGGAGTTTTAAAGACATCAGGGAGCTTTTTGAGTCTAAACAGGGCGTCCAGAAATGAGCTCATCCTGGGATGAGCTGATGGCAGTGGAGATACTCTAACAAACCACCGGTCAGTCAAAGCTTTACAAACAAGGGCTGGAGAGAAGAGACCTTGTTTAGTGGCTGAAGGAAAACCCAAGACAGGAGGACTGAAATTACTTCTCTAGGGACAAAGAGGGCCGAAGGAGATAGATGAATCTAGGCCTGGAGCCAGCAAGATGAGAGTTGTAAAAGGTCAGATATTAGAGAAGGGGCCTCTGGACTGGAAAGCAGACTGACAACTCCAGGAGTTCCCTGTACCTTCCTTCACTGCCCTAGTTTATACTCTGCTCCCCTAAATCCTCTCATACCCTAGTGAGGATGAGTCCTGTACTTTGCATCAAATCAAATGAGGTAATATTTGTAAAGCACTTTGCAAATGTCAAATCCTGGCTACGGTCATTATTACCTGCACTGGGGTCTGGAAACTGCAGGCGGGGAAGGGAAAGTAAAGAAGGCCATGAATCCAGGGAGGGAGGGGCTTCCTTACCCTCTCTTCCCTAACCCCCTCCTCAGAAGCCTCAGCGTATTGAGGGGGGGCCTGTGGCCCAAGCCTAAGGTCTGCTAGATCCCACCAGGCCATTAGGAGAGGCTAACAAACAAGCTGCTTTTACTGCGCACATAAAGGAAACAAGGACTGGAATTTCACGGGATGACCTGTTATCTCACCCTGTAGCCTCAAGGGGAGCACAAGCAAACAGGACATCAGGAAGATAATTGGAGTTTATGAGCCAACATCTGTTGGAGGAGGAGCAAGAAGAGAAAGAAACTAGGTCAACATAAAGTGTGTGTGTGTGTGTGTGTGTATGTGTAATATATATGTATGTATTTATATATTTACATATGGATATATATATTTTGTCATTTAGTCGTGTATGACTCTTCCTGACCCCATTGGGGGTTTTCTTGGCAGAGATATTGGAGTGGTTTGCCATTTCCTTCTCCAGCTCATTTTACAGATGAGGAAACTGAGGCAATCAGGGTGAAGTGACTTGCCCAGAGTCACACAGCTAGTAATTGTCTGAGGCTGGATTTGAACTCATGAAGAAGAGTCTTCCTGACGCCAGGCCCAGCACTCTATGCACTACGGTGCTACCTAGCTGCCCTTATGCATACATGTATGTATGTACATATGCACATACACACACATATACAGTAGCATAGATTATAAATTTATTTAGAAAAACCTTAGTGAGAATAGAGAAAGACTATGAAAGGTGCTGCTTCATAAGACAGCAAGGTGAAGCAGAAGGTTAAAAATAAGTCTGTTAAGCGTGGTGTGAAACCCAGCTAAGTTGCATCGTCCTGGGAGCATTTATAGATGAATGTGGATACTGTTAAAGGAGATCAGGGAAGATGTCACCTGACGATGTTAACAGAGATGCAGCTGATGCATCTGCGGCAGCGTTCTCGAAGGGAAACCTCGAACTTTTAAAGGAAGAAACGTTAATATGAACCCACAAAGAGCCGACATGTGGACCGTGTTAAGGGACCTGGAAGGGCAGAGGTGTGGCCCCAGGCAAAGCCAGCAGAATCAGGACTGTCCACACACAGATCACACAAAGAAAGAAGGAAATAAAACAGGGCCAAAGGTGGTAGAATTTGGGGTCAAGGAGCCAAAACATCTTCTTTCTTTGTTTACTGCTTGTTCCTTCTTCTGGTTCTACTTTGACAAAGGCCATGGATCTGGGCCAAGACTCCGCCCTGTTTCCTAAGCCTATCTGGCTGACTGTTGTGTTGATCCATATTAATAAAACTGGTAATTAAAAAAAAACCACTCTGCTGACCCACAGGCCTGTCTTTTCATCTCCGCAAACACACTGAGTGTGAGCTCAACAATAACGAGGAGCAGGCAGACCACGGCTGGCCAGCGCCCAGGTGCCTCCAGGCATGGTGCGCACCAAACCCAAGGCTCCCCGGCGTTTATTGGGTGATCGTTAAACAAAACCAAACCGTTTGATTCAGGGGTATAAAACGCAGCCCTAAATGTTTGACATGGTGTCATCCAAGGATTATTTCAAGGGGGAGGTAGGGAAGTGTTATAAAGAAGACCCAGAGAGAGAAGGGGATAAGACTCCATGACGGATGCGAGTAGACAGACATGTGGTCCTGTGATGAACACCACCCAACGTGGCACAAAACAGGCCTGATGCCATCATGAAAGATGGCACCCACAGGGTCCAAATGCAGGAGGGCTTCCCTAGACGCGATAAAGTCCTCCAGACACTCACATGTGGGGATGGCATTGACTGACTGCGCTAAGTCTCAGGGTGTGAGGGAGCCTTCTCAGTGGGTTCCAGGCCACTAAAACAATCCCCAGAGGAAAGGTCAAATGGATGAAGAAGACCTACTCTCCAGGCTGGGGTCTGCGGCTGGATGGCAAGCCCACTGAATCAATCCAGAATTCAGCCGGCTTGGTCTTCCTAATGCCTACCTTTGATCAGCTCACTCCTCTGTCCCCCAGCCTCCCACGGCCAGGACGACGGCTCAGTCAAGTTTAGACCCCTGAGAGAAAGATGATTAGTAACCCATATCTTGGGGATTCAGAGCTCCCCCACTTCTCACAAAGTCTTGACTTTAAGTTCAGTTCTTAAGGACCCTGCTGATGATGAGACGGGACGCACTTGAAAGTTACTGAGTTCTGCTCAGGCTGGGGTGGGGCACACATTCTGCGAACTGGTAGCCTAAATTTATGGGTGGTCTGGTACAGAAACACTCCACCACCATCCCACCCCCCCAAGGCCATTTCCAGTCATCTGGATCTAGATCTTGCCACTGGTCCCAGATGGTGGGGAGGACAGACTGAGGCTGGTGACTCTGCACTGCCCTCCCTCACTTACATCCAATTCACTCGCAAATCAAGGCATCATCTTCCTGATAATCACGGTCTTCTTCCAGAACCCAGGACAAACAGCTACTTTCCCAATCCAAAAGATACTCAGCCCTTCATTTTAACATAGCCCGCCTTGGATCACATTAACTAATTAGATTTGATGGACCACCTAATGTTCTAAAGGGTATATAAACTGAGTCTGCCACCGTGATTGTCTTTGGTCTAAGAGAGATGGACAAATGACCATCCTTTTATTAATAACCTGCTGGCCTTATTAATAAAATGATTAATTTACCCAGAAACCACGTCTCTTGAACCTTTTTAAACATCACATCCCTTAATTCCAAGCCCTTCATAATCTTGCTTTGGCCTATCTTGCCCCTTCTTCTCATACTGGTGTCCATCACAAACCTCAGGCCCTGGCCAATTGGAGCACTCATCCTGCCCAGACTGTGCCCTGCCCTTGCCTGCCTCCTCCTCAGACTGGCCTCCCATCCCCATCCTGCCACATGCTCCTTGCTCCTGGTCATGGCCTCCGCGATGATGCCCTGAGCATGTTCTGATATGGCCTGTGGTGATTTTGCTCCCCATCTTATCTCCCCTTCAATCAGCCCCTTGAATCTTTTTCATTTCTCTACACTCAATAGCACCTAGCCTCACATACACAGTAGGGTTTTACTAAATGTTCACTGAACCCAGAGAGTAAGGATGATAAAGACAGAGCACACAGTTGTCTGAATAAAGACCTAGAACAGGTGGAAAGAAAGTCTCTGGAGTTAAGGTGGAAAGATCGTGTCTAGAAGTGGGGGCATAACCCTTAAGCTTACAATGCCAGGCCTCAGGATAGAACAGACTGAGGTGTATGAAAGAACCTCAGTTTCTTGCACAGACCTCACCAATACATGCAAGGTCTCACCCCTCCAGGGCAGCAGGCCCTCATCATTTCTGACACACCTGAGCATAGGACTCCATGTTCTGGCTTCCACAGCTCACCCCCTTGTTCCAGGTGGCAGACGACCTCAGGTTTGGCAAGGATAAGCCCTGTTTGTAGAAAGAGAAATGGGCCTGTTAATGTTTTGGGGATAAAGAGCCAGGTCGAGGCTCAGCCCCAGCCACCTGGTCTTCAGGGAAGAGTGGACATGACGGGACGTCCTGAGGGTGGGTAGGGAGCAGGGGGTGGTTGTGACTGGTTCCCTGGAAGGGTGTTTATCTCAGAAAGATAATGAACTTGTCTGTTGATGGCAGGCTGGGAGTTTGCCCCCGGAGGTCTCTGCCCTGGGAAGAGAGAACGCTGGAGGGATGGCCTTCAGACTGGCAGAAAAATAAAGCTGCCCGATTCTGATGACACCTACAAGGCGCAGACCTTTCTCCTGGGAGCTGGGAGCAGAAGCACCCCATGCATGGACCACAAAGGGTTTGGGACCCCGGGATCACAGGAGCATAGATCTAGAGCTGGAGAAATCTGAGGAATTGACAGGGCCGACCCCCTCATTTTACAGATGAGTAAACTGAGGCCCAGAGAGGCCAGCAGCTATGCTGTATCTGAGGTAAGATCTAAGCCAGGTGTCCCTGACTAATTCTTCTCCCTACACTGAGCTGTCCTGAGCCCCAGCATCAAGGGCAGAGAGGCTCCCAGAAGCCTCACACCCAACAAACCGTGGGGGCCAATATGCCCCAAGGGACTGATTCTGGGCCTCTGGGGAAGTCGTCCTTACCCAGCGAGACCAGGTTCCTGTAATTCTCTAGCATCACGTCCCTGTAGAGGTGGCGCTGGGCAGGGCCCAGCAGCCCCCACTCCTCCTGGCTGAAGTCCACGGCCACGTCCTTGAATGTCACTGGCTCCTGAAACACCACATGCATTCCGGCTTGTCCAGGGACACCTCCACCATGACCCCACGGTGGAGCAGCAGAAGGGGCAATACGTACAGGGAGGCCAGCCGGACACTGTCCAGCACCCTTCCCACTCCAAGTCAAGTCTTTATCGAGCAGCTGCCCTGTGCCTGGCACAAAATCAATGTGACACTGTCACAGGCTCTGCTTAGAGGCCAGTGAGTCTTACTGCTCTCATTTTATAGATGAGGAAACTGAGGCCCAGTACAAGAAGCGCCGCCCATAGACAGATGCACAGTAAGCAAAAGTGGCAGGATTTGAACCCCATGCCCTAGGAGAGTACATCCTTTAATTAGGGGCCAAACTGTGTGTGGTGATCCTAACCCCTGGAGCACTTCAAGATTTACTGGCATAGATAGAGAGTGCTCCCAGGCATAGAAGGAGCAAACAGAGCAGGATATGGTAGGAATGGAGGGTTGGCAGCCACCCGGGAGGGTCTTCAGAGGCTCGCCAATCCAACCTGTCCTTATAAGGATTTCCTCTGCAACATCCAGGCAAGAGTCAGCTGGCCTCTGCTTGACAGCTGTCAGTGAGGGAAGACCCACGACCACACCAGAGGGACCTCGCCCCGATCTTGAGCAGATACCCCTCTGCACCTTGTACCCATTGGGGACCTCACCCTGATCTTGAGCAGATACCCTTCTGCACCTTGTACCCATTGAGGACCTCGCCCTGATCTTAAGCAGATACCCCTCTGCACCTTGTACCCATTCACTGCTCCTGGCTTTGCCCATTGGGGCCAAGAATAACAAGGCTAATAACTTCCTTTTCCCCGGGACAGCCTCTGACATACCCAGAGACATCGATTACATTTCCCTTACTTCTCCTCTCTCCAGGCTAGACTTCCACAGTTCCTTTGATCACTTTTCACTTGGCGTGAACAAGGCGTGTAACAAGGTGGCATGCAGGGTCTGACTGGGGCAGAGGATAGGGTGACCTCAATTCTGTACTCCCGGAAGCTCCACCTCTCAAAGCTTATGGAAGTGGGACTGGAGGAAGGTTGAGCCAGGTTGAATTAAGGGGGGCAGAGCAGTCCTCAGTCAAGAGGGAAATAGGCTTAAGCTGAACTTGACCTAGGAAAGTGAGTTCATGCCAGGGACTGGTGGGAGTGGAGGGGGAGCTCTACAACCTTCTTCCTGTTGCCTGTGTCTTTCTGGATATTATTTCTGACACGGAACAGAAAGGCTTCCTTCCTAGGTGCTGTCCATGGGGTAACACCACTGCTGTCCAGAAGGCCCTGGCATAACATCCTTCAAAGTACAGGTTCTACACAGCAGAAGGTTGATTTAAGCAGGCTAAGAGTTAATCCGTATCCACTGAATTCTCTCTTCCTCATTCTCCAAATCTTATCAGTCCCAAGTCTTGGTGGTTCTTCAGTCTATGAGGGCATACGATTAAGTGCTAAATTCCCTTCAAGTCCAGTCAACAGATGATGAACACGGAGAAGAGACTTCTCTTTGTCTAAGGTTATCTCGAGTGGTGTCTTTCCTGGGGGTTCCAGCACAAGCAAGGCAGTGAATGAAGCTGTGTACTTTTTTTTTGGTGAGGCAACTGGGGTTAAGTGACTTGCCCAGAGTCACACAGCTAGTGAGTGTTATATGTCTGGGACCAGATCTGAACTCAGGTCCTCCTGACTTTAGGGCCAGTGCTCTGTCCACTGTGCCACCTAGCTGCCCTAAGCTGTGTACTTCTAATCACCCGTCTACACAATAGGAAAGGAGTTTTGTTCCAGGTAGGACTGTTAATGATGTCTCACTCTTGAGGAGTTCTGGGAGATGGAGAAGGAGAAAGGCTATGACCCCTGTCGGTTATCTTCATCTTTCATCACTAAAGCATTGGGAGTTGCTATCACTGCCTACGTGTGTACTGGATGGAGGGCTAGCCTCAGAGCCAGGATGTTCTGCCTTTGACACGTATGGGCCATGATGATGTTGCACATGCCACTCAACCTTGTGGTTCTCTGGGCAACTCTAAGACCCTTAAATTGTGGCGAGGGTGCTGCCTTGCCATGGCAGGAGTGTCCTCAGCAGGGAATTCCTGCGGCAGAGCAGTCCCAGGGCCAGCCTCCCTCCCCTTCCCCCGCTGACAGGCCGAGGGCGTTTGTCCTGCCCTCCTCAGCCTAACCTGATGTGCTCTTCACACACACACACACACACACACACACACACACAGAGCAGGCTAGGGCACAGGAATGAACTTTAGCCAGGTAGTGGGGGCCAGGTCAGGGGGCACTGGAAGGCAGGTGTTAAGAAGTGAAGGGGGACGGCTCCTATGGCCCCAGGCTCCCATCTCAGCTGTCCTGATGTCCTTTCCCAGAAGCCTTAGCAGGGTGGCCACTGCCCACAGATGAGCCAAGGGGTAGGGAGGGGAGGGCAGCTAAGAGGGGGAAGGCTCTGTGATCTTGTCCCTCTGCCCATAAGCTGGAAAGACAACACCTCCGCTGTCTGGAACTGCCTGCTAGCACAGAACCAGCCTCAGGGAACACATCTTATATCAATTACATTACACTTCCCACTCTCAGCAGATGATTTCGTTTCTTACTTAAAAAAACCAAACTGAGCATATGAGTGTAATAATATTACTGCACCATGGGGATAAGTATGAAGAATGCAAAGAAATATGGGAAGACACTCATGAAGTGATGCCGAGCGATGCAAGGAGAGCCAAAAAAAACAACAGCTGTTATCATCACGACTATGGAAACGAAGGCACCTCGAACAACAGGAAAAGCAGCCCCACGGCCCAGAACGAAGTGACTGCTGACTTGGGAAGCTCTCTCTCACTCTCTCGGTCTTCTGTTAATGGAAACCCCGCCCGGTGGTGAGACCCAGCGGCCCAAGCCCACCGACACCCTGTTAGGCTTTTGGGGGAGCATTCCCCAGGGAACATTCCACCAGGACCATGTTGTGGGTTTGTGCAATGGGTGAAAACAACATTTATCAATCCTAGATAACAGGACAGTCTTTCCTTACCTGTTTGCTAATTCATTTGGCTCTGCTGTGTTAAAATCTAAGGGTATGGTGTGACATTTTACCCCCTTTTTAAAGTATGTTTAATTGTCTTTGCTGATGTTTGTTAGGTTTACAATAGATTTTTTTTTTAAAAAAACACAAATGTTTGTTGAATTGAACTGAAGATGGTCACAGGCCTGTCCCAAAGCAAGAAAGACTCTGATGTGGCTTCCCAGTCTTGAGTGTCCCCCTTCTCTGGGGTCATCCTCTGGACTGTTGCTAGAGTGATACTTCTGAAGCCCAGGGATCACCACTACCCTCCCCTGCTAAAGAAAGGCAAGTAGCTTCCTACTGCCACTAGGGTTAAGTTCAAATTCCTCCGCCTGGCATTGAAAGCCCTTCACGACGGGCCTCTAGCCAGCCTCTCTAGAACGATCACACACATACACTCTATGTGCCGGCCAGAACAAAGAAACCTTCCACTTCCCACCAACGCGCCTTTGCACGGGCTGCCCCCCATGCCTGGAATGTCCTCCCCCCTCCCCCATCTCTAGGATCTCTGGCTTCCTTTGAAGCTCAGCCCAAGTGCCACCTTCTCTAGGAGACCTTTCCTGATCCCCTCCGATGCTACAGCCTCCCACCACCGCAGAAGGGACCCAGTGTTCACCACACACATATGTGGCACAACCTTGTCCGTGTCCATGTCGCTCCGCACCCCCCTCTCGTGGACCCTAAGACCTTGAGAACACGGACTGTTTCATCCACTGCATCTGCACGGCCAGCGCCTTGCACACAGTAGGTGCTGACTGGACTAATCTCTTGATGGTTGTCTGGGACATACCCCACTGATGCTGCTCCTGCCCTCTGACGGTGTCCCCAGATTCTCCCCCAGTGACTCTTATTAGGGGGATGCCAATCAAAGGCACAGGATCAGAAGACGGAATGAGGGTCTCATGCAGGGCACAGCAGTGAGATGGGTTCCACTAGAAAGCAAAGGGCATGAGGGGAACCAACATGAAATCAATCTGGAGAAGCAGGTTGGAGCCAGATGGTAAAATGCTTTAAATACCAAACAGGGGGGTTTGCCTGTTATCCTAGAGGCCAAGACCCGGGCCTGGAATCAGGACGACCTGAGTTCCAATCCAGCCTTTGACACTTACTAGTCATATGACCTTAGGCAAGTCAATTAACCTGTCTCCCTCAGTTACTTCATTTGTAAAATGGGCATAATACACAGGGTGGTGGTGGGGATCTAATGAGGTGTTTGCAAAGTGCTTTGGCCCGATGCCTGGCACACAGCAGGAGCTTCCTAATCGCCTGCTCCCTTTCCCCACACAGAGCCACGGTCAGACCGAAGCTATCCTGACGTCAAGTGACGGCTGATATAAAGGCAGGATTGGAGGGGAGGGCCCAGAGGCAGGGAGTCCAACGACGAGACCATTTCAGTGGTCCAGGCTGAGGGCTTGAGTCAAGATGGTGGGAGGACTCTGGCCAAGGGGAGGGACACGAGATGCTGAAGAGCCGGTATCAGCAAGGCTTGGTAAATGCTTTGGGGAGGAGTCTGAGGTGGTGAGCCCCTGGTGCTGGCTGGCAGGGTTTGGGAGGTAGAATAACCAGGCCGACTAGAATTCACTGCTGAATCCCCCAGCTCCCAGGCCCATCTCTGCTCATGCATCACAAACCCGGTCTCGCCCCACCATCCACCTCTTCTACTCCTCCTCCGCTGAGAGCCCCAGCGGCCCCTCTCTGACGGACATCATCAGACCCCCTCCATTGGGTGGGCCAGACTGGATTCCTACACCACATCTGTCCTTCTTGGCACAGGACTTCCCCTCCTACTATCCTGAGACGATGTTGGATAATGCTAATTTAACCAAGTCCCTAATTATACAGAGTCAAAATATGCCTTCACCCCACAGTTCTAATTCTCTGAAATCACAATGGAGAGAAAATCTAACCTCTTGTTTTCAGAGGACAACCCTTGAAGTGTTGGGAAAAGTGGATCATCTGCTCCCATTACATGAGGCAGGCACTGGACAAAGAGGAGGAGGAAGGATGAGCAAATGTTGGGTGGAGGGGACCCCCAAAGCAAATAGAGAAAACCATCTCCCATCCCTGTGGAGGTCATCACCACCAGAAACAGCTTCATAAACACGGCTGAACTTGGGAGTCAATAAAGACCTGGGTTCAAATCCCATCCTTGAAACTTACTAGTTGTTGGCCTCTCTGGACCTTAGTCTCTTCATCTAGAAAAGGGGAGAACTCTGTAAGTACCGACCTCTGGGAGTTATTCAGTTCAATGAACATTCATTGACTCCTAGCCATACAGAAGATGCCTTGTGGGAAAACCAGAGATAATGTTCACGTAAAGTACTTTGTAAAGCTTCACATGTTATAGAAGTATCAGTAATTCACATGATTTAGTCTTCAAACAGAACCCAGCTTCCTGGGGAAGGGGAATTAGGTCTCAGTTCCCCTCAACTGGGCTGGTTTTGGCAGGGCAGACACATTACAGGATAAAGGGGAGAAATGTGGGTGACACAGATGTCATGTGGGGTAAAAAAAAAGATTCCCCCCACCCAACTCACCTGAGGCCCAGCAGTCAGAATCCCAGCTGCCATTCCCTCCTCCTCCTGAAGAAAGGGCAGAGTCCTCAGAAGACCGAACTAAGAGAGAAGAAAGGAGGCACGAGACAAAGACAGGCTAGCCATTCACACATCCATGCACGCACACACACACACACACACACACACACACACACACACACACACACAGTTGGAGGATGACTCCTTTCCTGTCCAATCCCAGGGCTGCGGGTGAGGCTGGTGGGGCCTCCATCCTGACCTTGTAATCACAGCAGGCTGGGAGGGACAGGTGGGGCCTGGGATTCGGACACAGAGGTTGAATTTGAAGCTCTGTGCATGCAAGCTGGTGCCCTGGCACACATGACTGAAAACCTTCTATGCCTTGGGGATTTTGTTTTTTTTGTGTTTTGTTTTTTTGTAGAAGCACCTTCCCTCCAGGCTCCCGATAAAGAAAAAATAAAATCTCAAATGGGACATATAGAAAGCTAAGGTCACACATTACTGAATGAAGGCTGGTAGAAAGATGGGCTTCCAAAAAGTATCCCCAGAGAGGAGCACAGTGGTGGGTATTCTCCTCAATAAGGCTTCAGAGGATACATCACCAAACAGATTGCTATAGGTGGAGAGCCCACAGAAGTCTCGGGCCAGGGAGATCTTCCACTACCTTATTCTACCCAATGACTCCTTCTCCCTCCCAAACCTCACTCCAATTTTTCTGAAGTCTCACTTTTCAAGCAGATGGTTCAAATATTGCAGGTCACGGCCTCCTTACTTGGGCTCTGGATGCTGTGGCTTCTCCAAGGTCCCCCCACCTTCCCTGCCAAATGGACAAAAACCACCCTGGGGTCTACCCAAAGAGTCCTCCAGAGGTGTCTGCCCCTTGGGCCGGCCGACCTGAAATAAAGAGGACGACCAAAGTAGCAACCAGGGTCTGTAATGGAGGCATGGCGCACAGCACCCCAGTACTGGAGAGCCCCGGAAGGCCAGAAGAGTGGGTTTAAATGCACTTCAACAGGGAGGGAGTCTTTGGGGAGGCACAGCCAGGAGCAGCTGCTACAGAAGTTGTTTTGCATACAAACTAAAGTCCACAGAGGGAGGGGGGGGGCTGTCACACCTGGTCAGTGCAGAGGGCTCCAGGAGCAGTCACAGGAAGTTTCCAGAGAAACCACCAGACTCCATCCAAGTGGTTTGAACCTGCTCTGAACCATGGGGGCAGGGTCGGGCAGCACCCCCCCCCCCCATGGCAGCAGGCAACAAGGGGGGGAGCGGAAAAAGGGGAAGAGAGGGAGAGAAAAAGAGACGGGGGAGCAGGGTGGTGAAGGAGACAACAGGGGGAAGAGAGGAGGGAGGGGGAGAGAAGAAAGAGAGAGAGAGACTGGGGGAGAGAGAGAGAGAAAGAGAGAGAGAGAGAGAAGGGGGAGGGAGAGAGACAGGGAGAGAAAGAGAGAGAGGGAGGGAGAGAGGGAGAGAGAGAGAGAGGGAGGGGAGAGAGAGGAGGGAGAGAGAGAGAGAGAGAGACTGGGGGAGAGAGAGAGAGAAAGGGGGAGGGAAGAGACAGGGAGAGAAAGAGAGAGAGGGAGGGAGACAGAGAGGGAGGGGAGAGACAGAGAGAGAGGGGGGAGAGAGAGTGGGAGAAAGAGAGAGAGAGGGAGAGAGAAAGAGAGAGAGAGGGAGAGAGAGACTGGGGGAGAGAGAGAAAGAGAGAGAGAAAAGGGGGAGGGAGAGAGACAGGGAGAGAAAGAGAGAGAGGGAGGGAGAGATACTGGGGGAGAGAGAGGGGGAGAGAGAGAGGTAGAAAGAGAGAGAGAGAAGGAGGGAGAGAGACTGGGGGTGAGAGAGAGAGAGAGGGAGGGAGGTGAGGGGAGAGGGAGAGAGAGGGAGAGAAGGGGAAAGGGAGGAGAGAGGACAGAGAGAGAGAGAGGGAGGGAGAGAGACTGGGGAGAGGGGAGAGAAAGGGAGAGAGAGAGGGAGAGACGGGGGAGACAGAAAGGGAGAAAGAGAGAGAGAGAGACTGGGGGTGAGAGGGGGGAAGGGAGGGAGAAAGAGAGAGAGAGAGAGGGAGAGGGAAAGAGAGAGAGAGGGAGAAAGTGAGAGAGAAGGAGAGAGGTGGGGGGAGAGGGAGAGAGAGGGAGAAGAGAGAGAGAGAGAGAGAGAGAGAGAGAGAGAGAGAGAGAGAGAGAGGAGAGAGAGAGAGAGAGAGAGAGAGAAGAGGAGAGACTGGGGGGGAGAGAGAGAGAGACTGGGGGGGAGAGAGAGGGAGAAAGAGAGAGAGAGAGGGAGGGAGGGAGGGAGGAAGGGAGAAAGGGAGAGACAGAGAGATGGAGACACAGAAAGGGGCACACACCCACACCCACACCCACACCCACACAAGGTCTGGGCGGGGAGCCCCTCTGACCACTTGAGCAGTCCGTGGGAGGGCCACGCACAGTGAACACTCACAAATGTACACTCTCACAAATGCACAAGCTCACGCCCCCTTGGCCTGCAGTGCACACAGACACAAACACACTCACACGCACCCGGCCACACCCACTCTGACACTCTCAGAGAGTGCGCACACAGAGACACACACACAAACATACCTGGCCACAGACACACCCACAGCAGCCCCCCTCCCCCCGCCCCATTTCCCCCACGCACGAGCACGCGCACACACGCGCACACACGCGCACGCCCTGCGCACAGTCCCGCGCGCTCCCACAAGGAGCTCACCTTCAGGCCTGTAAGCAAGTGCGCCTGCACGGAAAAGGCCGCGGGACTACACTTCCCAGAATCCTCCAGGCGGGAAGTGGTCGGGGTTGGTCTCTCGTCCAAGACTCCATTTCCCAGAGGCCTCCGCGGCGGCCCCCTACTCCCCTGTGATTGTTCAGACTCCACCTGTTTTTCCGAATCCGCTCCTCCCCTCTCCCTAGCCTCCCCACACAGCTCTACGTCCGGGGGCGAAGCGCAATTTAGACAGACAGACAGACAGACAGACAGACACACACACACACACACACACACACACACACACACACACACACACACACACACACCCTTATACAGACAGCGATGGACAGAGCATTTATTCAAACACACTGACAGAAACGCACACTGACACCAGTATTGACATCCACGTGTACATCCACAATCATGCACACATACGCTGGCTCAGGTGGGTATAGATAGGGGCACAAACACACAGTTAATCTGGGAAACACAAAGACCCACAAACACATACACACAGGCACGCCCGAAGCTGCAGACAGACGCAGGGACACAGGCACAAAGACACACATTAGAGGTGGAAGGCCAAGGCAGGGGTGTTCACCCTGAGAAGGGGTTCCAGGAATTCCCCCATAGATAACTGATCAAAGGCTATCAACAGTTTTTTGAAAGAATTTCTTTTTTTTTTTTTTGGTTAGGCAATGGGGTTAAGTGACTTGCCCAAGGTCACACAGCTAATACGTGTTATGTGTCTGAGATTGGATTTGAACTCAGGTCCTCCTGACTCCAAGGCGGTTACTCTATCCACTGCACCTAGCCCTGAAAGAATTGCAAAGTATCACTGTCTGCAGGAAAAAAAATATTCTGAAGCACAACTAATGAGAGAAATTCAAATGAAAACAACCCTGAAGTTTTACCTTTGACCTAAAAAATTGTCAAATATGACAAAAGATGGAATAGTCGATGCTGAGGGGCTGGGGGAAGGCAGGCACCAGAACATGCTACTAGTCTACACTGGTCTGACTGTTCTGGAAAACAATGTGGAATTATACCACAAAGGGCTCTGAACTGTTTGTATCCTTTTGATCCAGAAATCTCTACTGGACCTATACCCCAAGGAGTTAAAGGTAGAAAGAGAAGTCCCCTATTTACCCAAGTATGCACAAAGTGGGTGCCCAAGGACTGGAAGACAGTTGAACATACACATGTGCAATGAATGTAATGGAACATTATCGTGCCATAAGAATTCAAGGAAATAATGAATTCAGAGAAATTTGGGAAGACTTCTATGAACTGCTATAAACCCTTCTTGGTATTGGAAAAGTGACTACTACTCATCAGTCCCTCGTGTTTGCCCTTGCCCTGGTCTGGCCACTGCCCTCTTTAGTCATTAGAGGGTGGGTACACTGAAGTCGGGAAGACTTGACTTTAAATCACACCAGAGGCGCGTCCTGGCTGTGTCCCCCCGGGGCACAGGGCGCCCTCCCTGTGCCTTTCATCCTCATCAGTAAAATGAAGAGCCATTACTTCATGGCCTTCCAGCTCTGAATCTAGGACCCTCTGAATGAGCTTGGTCAACCAAGAGCAGGAGGTTTTTCAGACATGGGGTGAGGACTGAGAGCCAAATTAAGACCGACATCATTTTAATATTTCAAGGTCTCATCCTATTGTCTACCCTACTTTGCCAGCTGGGAGGTTGGTGGGTGGGGAAGGCTAAAAAGTTGTAAACCAGCGCCCCTTGGTGGGCAATAGGGATACTGCACCCCCTTGAAGCACTGAAACCTAACAAGTCACTTGAGTCAAGTCAAGAAGCATTTATTGAGCACCTACTGTGTTCCAGACGCTGTGCTAAGTGCTGGGGATACAAAGAAAAGTAAAAAAAATGGCCCCCGCCCTCAAGGAGCTCATAGTCTAACGGGAGAAACAGTGAAGACATGTGCGAACAAGACATGGTGGAGATGATGAGGGTGCAGTGCCACCTGGTGGACAATCCATGTATCACACTGCCCTGACGGTTAATCCATTGACAACCTTCATTTTTGTAGTTTGGGGAAAACAGGGCAAGGAGCAGAGTGTGAGCTGCTATTGCTATGGCAGCACCTCACGCTTCATCTGGGAAGCCCAGCAAGGGCAAACCTAGTCCACTGTTGTCCCAGGAATAGAGGACAAAGGGTCCCTAGCTCCCTTCTGCTCCTCCCTCTGGGATAGCAGTCATGGCGGGGATGAGTTTTCCATTGCACTGCCATCTTCCTGGGCCCTTCTGCAGATTCTGTGCTGAACCGATGCCATCTGCTGAGTCTTGGCTAAACTTCAGCTGTTGTGTGGACTGGTCCATCTAGCCCCCATCTTAGCTCTTTGGATTAACTGCACTGGTGATGAGAAACATGTTAATAATACAGGGCAGCTAGGCAGTATGGTGGATAGAGCACCAGGCCTGGAGTCAGCAAGACCTGACAATGTTCAAATGGTCTCTGCCCCATCCTCCCTCCCTCCTTCCCATTCTTCAAACAGAGGCTATAGAGGAGGGTTTCTGTTCAGCCACACATTGGACTACTTCACTTGCTCCAGCTTGGAGATTCCATGAATATTCAGTCCCCTAAAACCTTCAGTTGTTTTCTTATTTGAATTCATCTAGACAAGCCTCTTCCAGCCCCATGCAGAGACTAGAATGACAAGTTATTGCTGTAGGGTACTCTCTAACACATAATGAAAACCTCTTTGAGGCTGGAGAGAGACTTCCAATGATTTGCTTGTGGGACGAGGCTGATGGTATCACTCACTAGTCAGAGCTCGCTACAAGCCTCATCTCACCCAAGGGAATTAGGGTGTGTGAGCTAGGCTCAGCCACCAGCACTTGGGAACTCTGCAGCAAGGGTGGGGATAGAGAAGGGTCTACGCTGCAGAGGGGAAGTGGGGGGCTGAGGTGATAAACACTCTGTAGGAGCATATCCCCTATAAGTTGGACTATAACGAAAGCTGAGCTCTCCAGAATCGATATTTTTGAATTATGGTGCTGGAGATGTTTGAGAATCCCTTGGACAGCAAGGAGATCAAATCAGTCAATATTTAAAGAAATTAATTCAGGCTATTCACCAGAAGGTCAAATACCGAAGCTGAAGCTTAAATACTTTGGCCACATAATGAGAAGACAGGACTCATTGAAAAGACCCGGATATTGAGATAGTCTGAAGGCAAAAGGAAAAGGGGATGGCAGAGGGTGAGATGGACAGATAGCATCATGCAAGCAATGAGCATGAGTGTGGACAGACTTCAGGAGATAGAGAATAGAATGGCCTGGTGTGCTATGCTTTTTGGGCTCATGAAAAGTCAGACACAACTGCATGACTGAGCTACAACCATATTCCCTTTCAGAAGTGGTGGAGGACTGGACTTCTGGCCCAGGGTGATGGTAGATGTAGTAACTGTCCCTCTGTCTGGTGGCTCTGTATGACACAGGGTGGGAGGAAGCATCCTGAAGCCCAGCATGAAACACCACCTATTGGATGGAGAGTGGGAAGTCTTACACTTGACCCACACCATCCCTACTTTTGCAATAGTGGCCCTGCACTGGGACCCCCTGGGAGCCGAGGCAGCAGCTGGGGATGTTCCAAAGACCAGGAGCAGCCTTCTGCTTGGTTAGAATGCCCTCTTATTCCCACTGCCATCTGGCTCTCCCCTCATCTCTCTCCTTCCTATCTGCTAACTTGTCAAAATCAACTCAAAATTGTTGAATACAAACACAGGAGTCATATCAGGGGTAGTTGGAGACTGTGTTCATTTGGGTTTGATTTGGCAGTTGCCCATGACCGGACAGCCAGCAAGTATCAGAATGATTGAATGGGTACATTTGTACAACCTCCTTGCTGGAAAACCCTCAAATATTAAGAAATAACATTTCCTCTGGTTTATGAAGCCCTTTCCAGATACCTCCAAAAGGTCTCTTGGAAAGGGAGGTGAAAGGTTGAGGACTAAGAGGTCTCTCATAAGGAAATGAATGTAGGGTGGTCCTGGTGTGAGAGTGGGCACAGAGAAGAACTCTGCTCTTAGAGTTGTTGCCTTCCTTATCTCCAGAAAGAAGTAGCCCCAGATCCCCTCAGGGGAAGAGCCTCTTCTATTCAGAAGGATTCTGGATATTGATATAGACACTGATCTCTGTGAGGAGTGGTCCAGGAAGCAATGAGGGTGACTGTGTTACTCTGATATTCAGGGATGTTAACTTCAAACTGTATTTTATGTACGTGATTTTTCTTCTCTAAGATTTCTAAATTTGTTACCTTGGGGACAGATATACCAGAGGGCATGAGAGAACTAGGCTGCCTTAAATGTCTCTCTCTAAGCCAGAAATGGCCCAGTTAATAATGTTAAATTAAATAAATTTGTTTCTGACAGACTTGTGCCTAAAACAGAGTACAATATTATTATTTTTTTTAAACAGCTATCTGAAGGGGGGGAGAAGGGGGTAGACTAAACATTTGAATCTGCCATTCAAATAACAGAAAATTTTTGTGTGTGCCTATCTGCCCAGTTATTACTCAATGTGCCGAGTTTCCTTTTCTAGCTTGTTTTATAGATAAGGAACCAAGGCAAACAAGGTTGAGTGATTTACCGAGGGTCACACCACTAAGTGTCTGAGGCCAGATTTGAACTCAGGAAGAAGAGTCTTCCTGATTCCAGGTCCAACACTCTATCCACTGTGCCACCCAGATGGCCCGTTTGGTAATCGCATTAAAAAAAATTCACAAGGAGGTGAGGGGAGATGCCCCAACCATTTTATAAAGCATACAGAACAGAATCATTCCCCTTTCAGACTCAGATGTCTCTCATTCCATTGGGCAGGAGATTAGAAAAGATCGTAGAGAAAGGAAAAGCAGACAGAGGCTCTACTTCCCCTAGGAAAGGATGGGAGCAATACAACCCCAAGAAAGACTTCTTAACTAGGATCCATGAACTTGATTCTTTTAAAGAATGTTCTGATAACCCTGTCTCAATAATCCATGTAATTTTATGCATTTAAAATGCAATTTTGAGAAGGGGTCTATAAACTTTGTCAGGCTACCAGAGGGGCCCATCCATGATTCAAAAAAGGTGAAGAGGGGGCAGCTAGGTGGCACAGTGCATAGAGCACCGGCCCTGGATTCAGGAGGACCTGTGTTCAAATTCGGCCTCAGACACATATCACTTACTAGCTGTGTGACCCTGGGCAAGTCACTTAACCCCATTGTCTAGCCAGAAAAAAAAAAAGGTGAAGAACTCTTGCCTTCGAGTGATGCCCAAGGCCCTCTTGGCTCAGGGAAGCTTCCTGTCCACTTATCCTCCCATATGGACACCCCTGTTGCATCCTTTACTCATCCAGGCTCTAGGCAGGCCACGATAGGAATACTCCTAGGAATAATTCCAAATTAAGGGGACCCTCTGTGGTCCTGGCCTTGAAAAGGCTAAACTTGGGGCATGTTGAATCCTTACAGCCTACAAGACATGAGGATTATACAAATTCTTCATGGAATCAAATAGAATCTCAGAATAGGAAGGGACCCCAAGAGGGCTTTTTATCCAACCAACCCCTCCTGGGAACACAAGTCCCCTCTACTACAAGCCCAGCCAATGATTATCTACCCTCTGTTTGAAAAGCCCCCATGACGAGGTACCCGCTACCTCAAGAAATGGCTTATTTCTGAAATAGGGAGCTGAGATGTCCCCTTCTAACTTTTCCCAGTTGGACCTACTAGTTCTCCCCTCTAAGAACAGGCCATGCTTTCCTTCGGCAACTCAAGGAGCAGAGGGGCTTGGCCAGCCTTACGCACAAGAGACATGCTTCTGGGTATTTTTTCTGGCCTTCCTCTCACCCTGTGCTCCAGCTGAAGACCACAACTTTTAGGCAACGTTAGGGGCTGCATGTTTTACTGAGTTCTGTGGGCCTGAAAGAAGTTCCTGTCCTTTCTTTTTGTTTCTCGGCCTTAGGGTTTGGTCTTCGTACCAAGTATAGTGACTTTACATCCTGTTGGAGATGGTTTCTCTCTGTTTTCTTATAGCCAGGATGGGGAAAAGGGGAAGGTGGTGATTAACAGTTTTTTCTACTCTTAACATTCACCCTTTTTGAACTCTTCTTGAGTTCAAATTTGGCCCTAGACATTTACTAGCTGTGTGACCCTGGGCAAGTCATTTAACCGTCTGCCCCAGTTTCCTCCTCTATAAAATGAGCTGGAGAAAGAAATGCCAAAGCACTCCAGTATCTTTGCCAAGAAGACGCCAAATGGAGTCATGAAGAGCTGGACATGACTGAAAAAACTAAATGCTTTAAAATTTATTTAAAGGCAGCTAGATAGTGCGGGGCTTGGAATCAAGAAGACTCATCTTCATGAATTCAAAACTAGCCTTAGACACGTACTAGCTGTGTGACCCTGGACAAGTCACTTCACCCTGTTTGCCTCAGTTTCCACATCTATAAAATGAGCTGGAGAAGGAAATGGCAAACCACTCCAGTATCTTTGCCAAGAAAACCCCAAAAGAGTTCACAAAGAGTCAGAAATGACTGAAACAAGCCAACAACAACAATGTCGACCTATCAGGACCACCTTTTGAAGGCTGGAAAGTCCCACTTTGGGAATTTCTGGAGGGGGCTCTGATTGATATCTGTGAATCACCTTAACTATCAATGATTCTATAAATTTTAACTAAGGGCTTCCCTGGATCTGTCCCAGGAGTAGGTAAAAGAAACATTCAATGAAATAATCCTTAGGTGGTCTTTTCCAAGGCCTCTTGTTCTTGTATGACAAAACAAGTAAATAGTTTTCAGGCCCACCCTTATTCTTTTTTCCTGTAACTTGTCCTGAATTGAGATTTCACTGGCATAGGAAACGCCGGAGGAAGAAACCCTTCCACCGATGCTTATTGGCAACTGTTGAGAAACTCACTAGTTTTACAGTTTCCTGGGTCACAGAGAAGTAAATTGCCCAGGGCACCACGGCCTGTGATATGTTGGAGGCAGATCTGAACCTCGGTCTTCCTGACACTGAGGCTGGTTCTATGTCCAGTGTGCCATGCACACTTAGGTGGTGCGATGGTGAGTCTACAGACATCTCCAGCTACTCTAGAAACAGCCGGAAGAGAGAAGCTAAGGAAGGAACCGAGCCCTCAGAAGACCCAGGTCGCTGGGCTGCTAAAATCAAGATAAGCTTGGGGTGACTTTAAAGATGCAGGGGGCTGGGGGTGGTGATTTCCTTTCTTTCTTTTTTTTTGGACTGGTTGTGGGTGTTAGGCCAGGAAGAGAGCTGAGGCTGGTGATAGAATCAAAGAATACTCACAGATGCACAGTCTAAACCATCTATTTCTTTACTTCCTTTGCTTTAAGAAGTGATCTGTACATGTCTTT